GACGGGACGCACCCTGACCATGTCGCACACTGTTTACATTGTCAGCCTAAGAACCTATTTGGTCGGCACACAATTAAGCTGTAGAGAAGCATGGCACATCTTAGGGGACGAGACTTGCCTGCTCCCCGGCGTGTGCCTATCCGTGCTCCCGCATATGTGACTTGATTTGATTGGACAAAATAAGGTCCGGCCCCACCCCTTTAAAATCAGGGAGGGAGATAATTAGATTAGAAAGAAAAGAGAAAAAAAGACAACCGTAGGATGAAGTGAGAGCATCGGGAGAGAGCAGGCAAGCCGAATCCCATCTTAGGGAAGTTGATTTTGGAAAAACATGCATGGAGCCTATGGCATGTGGGCCACATGGTTAAGAAACTGTGGGACGAGCCAAGCACCTAGCACAAGTGGTCATAGACACGTAAATTAAACCTGAAGAAAAGGCAGCCTGCATTTTGTGTTTTGTAAATAGCAACTGTAGAAAGCCTAAATCTATGTGCTTCCATCATGATGCAGACCTAGACACGAGGTGGTGTGTACCCTGCAAAGCATTTGAATATGCTGATCTGTTTTCGATAGTGGCCTAATCGGTGATCTTAAAATTCTTGACAAAAATAATCGTACGCCCGTCTCAAAAGAAGGCAGAATTGTATCGTACGCGTAGTGCAAGCTACTCTGCATGGACCGTTGCAAGATCCAACCAATATATTCGGATTTGGAAACCGTAACAAGTAACCGGATTGGCAGTGGCAGGGCTCCCGAAATCGATGCCCATTTTCTTCAGCGTCCGTGCCGATCATCGATGCGAGGCGCGCACAACTAGATAACGGTAATTAAGCCCAGAAATTAAGGTGGTGCGTACACGCGGTGTGATCATCAATCAGGGCAAGAAGTCGCCAATGGTGGCACGATCGATGTGCTTACCTTGGACGTCGCCGTACGGGCGCGGCACGAACCCGTATCCGTATCCGCTGCCTGCGCCCGGAACGCCGACGGTGCCGCCGCCGGCGATGCCATTGCCTCCTCCAGCGATGCCATTGCCGCCGTCACCGATGGGGCCGGCGTTGCCGCCGCCGATGACGTTGCCTCCACCGGGGGTGGCCCCGCCGGCGCCGGCGCCGGCATTGGACCAGAAGCGCGCGTAGCACTTGCCGAGGTAGACCTCCCCGGCGGAGGCGTCGCCGCAGCCGGCCTTGAGCTGCGAGGCGGCGACGGAGACGCAGTCGGTGCAGGCCTTGGCGCCGAGGTCCCCCACGCACTGCGACATGGCCTGCACGTACCCGGCCGCGCCGGCGCGGTACGAGCCGTCGGCCGCGGGGGACGACGCGGCCTGGAGCGCGCCGAGCGCCGCGTCGCGCAGCGGCGCGACGCCGGCGTCCCCGCTCTCGCCGCCGCACTTCTTGAACAGCACCGTGTTGTCCGGCTTCCCGAGGAACGAGTCGTTGCCGTAGCGGACGAAGCACGCGCGCAGCTGCACCGCGCCGCCGGCGGCCGAGTTGCAGAGGGAGGCGAGCTTGGAGGCGGACGCCTTGACGCAGACGCCGCAGACGGCGGCGGGGAGGTCGGAGCGGCACTGGTAGAGCCCGACCAGGCCCGTGGTGGCGCCGGACGGCGGGGTGTAGTTGGCGTAGGGGGTGGAGGCCGCGGTGTCGGTGAGGGTCGAGAGCACGGTGTCGACGTCCGCGGCGTACTGGGTGCCGGCGTCGTAGCGCGCCTGCGAGCACCCGGCGTACACGAACGCCGTGTAGTCGTCGGCGCCGCGCGCGCGAACGGCGAGCAGCGCGATCAGGATCGGCAGCGCCGTTGCTGCAAGAACCTTCCACATGCTTGGAGCTTCTCGGCTTGGACGTGCTAGTGTTTGATGCTTCGGCAGACTTGGGAAGCTGAGGAAGATGAGCGCGGAGCAGAATGGCAGGGCAGTAGCTAGTGTTCGGAGTGTGTAGTGGAGTGGGCTTGAAAGGGTTTATAAGGAGGAAGCTAATCACTCGGGTTAATAATACTGGTGACGTCGCCAACGCATCTTACTTTTCAAGTTTTCATCCTATCACGTGAGGTAACAGATGATGTTCCCACGGAAACAAGATCTAATTACCCTCTATCTAGATGATACATGTGTTCGAGCGACAAGTAATATGGATTGAAGGGAGTAATATTCTTTTTTCATACATTTTGAAATATAATATTATTAAGAAGAGCAGTCCAAGGCTCCAAGCTACGTTAGAAAAACAACAAGATACAAAATGACCAGCAAAAAATAAAATTACATCAAAAGTCATACTAATTGTGTTTTCCTTCCAAAAAAAGACTGCAATAGCCCCTCATTGCGGAAACGAGGTTAACTGCTGATGGAATATTAGTAGGGGCACCACCCCAAGCAACACAAACTTGCAATCATTCACCGACAGTCCAGAGGGTTGGAGAAATCGGGCCATGTCGTAACACAACTTGAAAGAAGAGGTCGAAGGCATGGCGTCAAAATCCCTCGAAAGAAGAGGTCGAAGTTGTGGCATCAAAATCCAGCCAAACTGCTTTCCTTAACTAAAACACCAACTGCAAGATTTGAAGAGAATCAACAAGTTTGGTAATACCTTCCCTTAATGAATTGAAATATATGTTCAATATTTTGTGAAATTCATTGAAAGATGTGTTAAATATTTTCCAAAAATGATTGAGATATAAATTTCTACATATAGTTCACACACAAATTTACTCCTTGTCATCATGGAGACAGAAGGGGAAAAGGTGAGGGAGGTGAACTTAGCTTGTTAAGATTAGGGGATTCCAAGGTTCAAGAACTATCATCGACAAGCTCCTTCCCTCTTCCGTTGCTTCGACCTCCGCCGTCGGAGTTGCAGAACAGTCAACAAGAGATCTCCAACGGGCTTCTCGGGCGGCTAGGGTGGAATGCCCATCAACTGAAGGATCACTGGCAATTTACTACGCTCCCTCCTTCAACTTCCAATGGAGAGGCCCTTTCTTTGCCAAAAGATGGCGAAAGCCATGGTCCGAGAAGGTGGCAAATGCTTCTCCATGACTTGATTGTTTTTGTTTTTTGTGTTTTCTTTGCGGTCATGTGTGCAAAAGGGAATGGCATGGATATAATTTTCTGCCTTTTAGGTCCATTTGCAGTGATGTGTCATTTTTAACATAAATGTCAATTTTTGGAACCTTCAAGTCCATCCATGCCATTTATAAAAAGTTCGGCAGTACCGCACCAGGCATGGTGGTTGGATCCAATTTCATGCTCTCCAGTCATAATACCATAGGAGTCCTCCTATTCCGTGTGAATATCCTATGGGCCACGACCAATTTTGCGTAGAGGCTCCTACATTTCTATTGCAGTAAGTTTCTTTTATTTTACACACTTCAGAGAAAATGTGGGGAAAAATCATGAATTTATGAAGACGAATATGATTTGCAAAAATATATTCACAAATTTAAAAAAGATCATGAATTTTAGGAAATGTTTGAGAAATTTTAGAATGTTCACACATTATAAAACATAAAATATTGAACTTTTTGATAAAATGTTCGCTAATTTAAAAAATATTTCATATGTTCTAAAGAAATGTCTGCCAATTTTTTTAAAAATTCATGGATTATTTAGCAACTATTCATGGGTTTTAAAATTGTTCAAGGATTTTTAGAAAAATAATTAACTATTAGAAATATAACAAATGAAATAAGGAAGAAAAGGGGAAAAATAAGAAGAAACCAAGAAAAGAAAACCCAAAAAACAACCGAAGACCGGAAAAGTCGGCCGGAAGGAGGAAGGAGCATAAGCATGAACGATGCCTCACACACACTGGGTTGGCCCAACTGGCATTGTGGTGGTACACGTTTGGTCTATTCAGCTGCAAGAGCTTTTGGGAATGGATGCGCGAACCATCGTGGGGATCCCCCTCTGTACTCGCAACACAAGGGATTTTTGGAGCTAGAACTTTGAAAGAAGCAGAGTTTTCTCAGTAAAGTCATCCTATCGCATGCTAGTTGCTACAAGAGAACGCCGTGAGGTGTGGTTGGAAGTAACTGTAGGAACATCATCATCGGTAGCTGAGGAAGGACCTTGGAAGAAGCTATGGAATACCAAAGTCCTAGGGGAAGGTGAAAATGTTTCTTTGGAGACTATCTAAGTAGAAACTACCTACTGAAGATGTGCGTGCACATAGACACATGGCAGACAATCCTCTATGCAGGATGTGTGGAGCTCCGGGCTCATGGAGACACTCCCTGGTTAGTTGCACAACATCAAGGTGTACCTGGGCGCTAGTAGATGATGAGCTTGCTCGGAGATTGGTAGCAGCGACCGAACCCAATGCCAAGTAGTGGCTTTTCACGCTCATCGAATTGTTATCACATGAGCAGTTTGTGCTATTGGCGGTCACACTTTGGCACGCAAAGGTATTCATGCATGAGCAGATCTTCCAAACTATGCAAGTCACTCATTCCTTGGTAAGGAACTTTACTTCGGAGCTCAGTGTTATGTCAGAACAACGAGTTACTAGAGCTCCAGGAGGAGTACCGAATGCTCATACTACCTGACAGAAGGCACCCCCCGGCTGGTTATGCCAAGGTTCACGTTGACGCCGGGATCAGAGCTGGCAGAAGAGGCTCGGCAGCGGCTGTTTGTCGTGGCCATCACAGTAACTATCTCGAAAGCTCGACGCTGGTCATTGTAGGTTTGGAGGGCCCTTTGATACTAGAGACCATTGCATATAGAGAGGCACTTTCTCTCGCAGAAGACCTCAACTTACAGAATTTGCTGATTGCTTATGATTCCAAACAAGCTATCTTAGATATTTATAGAGAAGCATGGGGAAGAATGGATTAGTTGTAAATGAGACAAAGCTTAGATTAGTTCAATTTCATTGTATCTTTTCTTTTGAAGGTCGTGCTGCAATACTAAAGCACATAGTTTAGTTAAGTTCTCTCTTGATAGAGGGTCAGGGCGCCATGTTTGGTTGCGCCAACCTCACGACTCTGATTGTATCCCACACTCTGTGGTATTTGATGAATAAATTGGCTTTATCCCCTAAAAAAGCGACAAGAGTTATACACCTAAAAACTGCAAGAGTTATACTCCCTCCATTCCAAATTACTCGTCGCAGTAATGAATGTATTTAGAACTAAAATACATCTAGATACATCCATACCTGCGACAAGTAATTCGGAACGGAGGGAGTACGAAATAACTAGTTAAGTAGCACTTTTTGCAAAGGTCACTCCCCTCTCCATATCGCAACAAGTGTCGCACTGCATGTACGCCACTTCTCGCAACCTGGGAGTTTCCCCTTTTTCCGTTGATTTGTTTATTAAAGAATGTTCTACTCTCAAACCACGCGTCAAATCTCGATCCATTTTCACCACTAGATTTCTCGCATCGAGATCTTCAAAACTTGACCCTATGTTGCTTGGTTTTGTTAAACCTTTTTTCACAAAAAAATTGGACGAAAAAACTCAAATCAGAGGCATGTTTTTTTCCTTTCCGAGAGACATGGTCGTGCCCCTCACGGAAGTAAATCCGTGCCCCCCCCGAAGTAAATCCATGCCTCTAGTGGTAGTAAAAAGATGTGGTTTTTCCTTTGGCGAGAGGCACGACCATGCCTCTCCGGTAAGCAAATCCGTGCCTTCGCGAGAAGTAAATCTGTGTATTGTCCGGAAGAAAAAACACGTTTTTTTCCTTTTTGAGAGTGCCTCTCGCAGAAGCAAATATGAACCTCTATGAGAAGTAAATTTATTGCTCTCGTGGTAGGGGAAAAAAGAAAGTATGTTTTTCCCCTTTTGTGAGAGGCACGGCCGTGCTTCCCGTGGAAGCAAATCCGTGACTCCACAAGAAGTAAATCTGTGCCTCTCGCGAAAGAAAAAGAAAAAAGTATGTTTTTCCTTTCTGAGAGGCACGCTCACAAAAACAAATCTATGCCTATACGAGAAGTAAATATGTGCCTCTCGTCGTAGGGAAAAAAAGAATACGCTTTCTTACCTTTTGCGAGAGGCACACGCGGAAGCAAATTCGTGCTTCCAATACTCGTAGCTCTGGGTCCAAAACCTAAGAAAAGCCAGGAAAACCGAAAACACAAAAAAAGCATCTAAAAGCCAAAAACGATGTAGAAAAATTAAAAAATATAATTTGTAGAGAGCACCCAAAATGTGACATGTGGCGGCAGCTAGGAGCGTGCCATATAGCGCACTCTCAGCCCACACCAAGTGACCCTTGGGGAGGCTCCCGAAGAAGTGCTCTTTGATTAGTTGCTCCCAGAGTTATATATCTCAACTCAATCATTCTCTCAAGTGGGCCGACCCCACAGGAGGTTTCTATGTACATGATACGTCTCCGTCTTATCTACTTTTCCAAACACTTTTGCCCTTGTTTTGGACTCTAACTTGCATGATTTGAATGGAACTAACCCGAACTGACGTTGTTTTCAGCAGAATTGCCATGGTGTTATTTATGTGCAGAAACAAAAGTTCTCGGAATGACCTGAAACTTCACGGAGATTATTTTTGGAAATAATAAAAAATACTAGCAAAAGATCAAGACCAGGGGGCCCACACCCTAGCCATGAGGGTGGGGGCGCACCTGCCCCCCTGGGCACCCCCCTACCTCATGGGCCCCTTGGAGCTCCTCCGACCTCAACTCCAACTCTATATATTCGTGTTCGGAGAGAAAAAATCAGAGAGAAAGATTTGTCGCGTTTTACGATATGGAGCCGCCGCCAAGCCCTAAACTCTCTCGGGAGGGCTGATCTGGAGTCCGTTCGGGGCTCCGGAGAGGGGAATCCGATGCCATCGTCATCATCAACAATCCTCCATCACCAATTTCATATG